TACCCCCATGGCGCGTCGAGGCCCCCCTCCTGGGCCCCCCCGCCTAGTGCGTAGGGATTCATCTATACATAGATGTGTGCATATATGGGCGTGTATGCATGTACGCATGTATGTATGGAGGCATGGATGTCTGTAGGCATGTATGCATATATGTTTGCATGTATGCATGCACGCAGGTCTGTATGCACGTATGTATGCATGCATGCACGTATGTATGAAGTACATATATATATATATATATATATATACATACATATCTACCTACCTACCTACCTACCTACCTACCTACCTACCTACATACATACATACATACATACACACATGTAGGGGTATATATGTATATATATATATAGATGGATGTATAGAGTCAGGTATGCATGCATGCATGTATGCATGGATGCATGTATACCAGCATGCATGTATGCAAGTATGTGGATAGGTGTGTGTATGCATGCACGCATGCATGCATGTATGAATCAATGTATGTATGTGTATATGTATATAGGTCTGAATATGTGTATGCATGCACGCATGCATGTATGCATGCATGAAATACATGCATGTGTGTATGCATGTATGCATGCATGTACGTATGCACGTATGTGTTTATGTAGATGGGTATGTATGTGCTGTTGCTTGTATGTATGTATGCCTGTCTGTCTGTATGTATGTATGAATGAATGTATGTATGTATGCATGTTGCATGCTTGCATGCATGCATGCATGCATGCATGCTATTTATCCCCCGTCCCCCTGTGGAACGAGGAGGAGTGTGCTTCATCCTGTCTCCCCTCTGTGCTTGCGCACACTCGACAAAAAAACACAAACGCTGAGCAGTGGGGGGCAAACGAGTACCGATCCCGCTACTCATCAGACTTCTCCCGGGTCGCGCCCTGACTGGAATTGCGAGAAGCCAGCCGTGGCGACGAGGGACCTCCAGGACGAGTAGCGCCGTCGGTATGTGCTCCTCCCCTGAGGGACAGCCGTCTCCTGGAGGGGGCACATGGGCATCACCACTCCGTCCACCGAAACGGTGACGTTGTAGCTCCCGGGGGTGGCGCACACGAACTGCACGGAATCCGCCAGCCGCCCGAGACGGCCCCGCAGGTCAGGGCCAGCCCGGCGCCAGGCCTCAGACCGGCCGTGCGAGGACCCGTGGGTGGGTCTGGCTGTCTTGTCCTTCTCTTCTCGTGCGCTCGGCACTTTGGCAGCGCAGCCTTCACAGCGCAAGTCTCGTGGAGGTCTGGGTCGTCCCTGTGGCCACCGAAGAAGCGGAACTGCGGTCCGAGGTGGTACACTGGTCCATGCAGGGAGGGAGAGGGGGCACTGGCGAGCCTCGTCAGGACCCTCAAGGAGGTTGCCCTGGCGGCGGTTGCCCTTGCCGACCCACCAGGGCCCCCTGGATTTGGACCATCCGCGTGCGGTGGGAACCATCCCCGCTCATCGACCGCATCTTTAGAATATGTCCTCTCCATCCTGCTGGTGAACACATCGGCTCCAGGGGGATGCTGCATACGCTGGTGGGCCAGACTGCGCTATTCACGTGCTTGCCGCTGCCACTGCTAACACGTCGGGCCAAGTCCTAGGATGTCATCTCCGAAAGCATCGCGACGAAGTATGTCATGCGCCGATCTCCCAGAAGTCCGATTTTGTGGTGCCGAACTGCCCACCGCATGCTCTCAGGAAACACTTCAGCCCGCATCTTCGGAACTGTACTGGGAAACTCATTGTGACCTTCGCGTGAAACCAGACAGAGCTTCGCAGCCTCACGGATGCCTTCCGACCGGTCTGGAAGGCACCTCGACGCCCTCAAAAGCCCATCCACCATCCAATACGGTAGGGTCGTGCGGCGTCGGCGCCCGCAGAGGTTTTTGGCTCTGCGTCGATCGTTAAACCTTGAATCGGTCGCAGCATCGATCATTCAGCGTTGAATATCGCCGGGTCCTGTGGCGTTCCTATGTCCATCGGTGCCCCCGCGTGGCAGAATTAAACCTGGAACGCCTTTGCTGGCGTCGCCAGCGCGCCATCGCCGCGTGAACTTACCGTACAACTGCGGCGCCGTCAGGGAGGGACAGGGCGGGGTGGGGGGAGAATAGTCGGGGGCGCCCAAGAGGGGGCCACCCAATAGGGGGTGCGCAACCCATGGCCGGCGGCACGTGCGCGGCCCAGGGAGGGGGGGGCGGGGGACGTACTGGAATAAGAAGAGGCGCCATGCAATCTGGGGAGACATCATGGCCCCCGCCATGATATCCACCCACCCCTGGCCATCACCCCCCATTCGGCCGCCCGCCGAAAGAATGGGAAGGGAGGGGGCGGCGGCGCCGATGGGGACGCGGGCAAGGACAGGAGGGGACTGACGCCTGTTCTCGAGCCCCAATGGTTTGCTGAAGGGAGAAGCAGACGGGAGGGGGCCGAAGCGGCGAAGGGGGGGTCGGGCGGCCCCGCTGTGCCAGCGCGACGGATAGGTCCCGTCGTCGTTGCTCTCCACCCGTGGGCGTGGCTCCTGGGGCGCGCCGGCCCTTCCTCTTCAGCAGCTCTGTGTCTTGTTAGCTCATGCAGAAATGAACGAACACATCGATATATACATATCTATATACATATACATATATATGCATATATATACACATATGAATCTACATGCGCACATCCATGTGTTAACCCATGCACACATATGCATGTGTGTTCGTACATGCGTGTGAGCGTGTGGATTGCTCACTCGCTCTATCTCTCCTCCTCCTCCTCCTCCTCCTCCTCCTCCTCCTCCTCCTCCTCTCTCGTATGCCCTTTCCTCTCGCATTCCCTGTCGCTTTCCCTCTCTTTTTTCTTGTGGCCACGGCGAGCCTCGGCCACGACTGCGGAGGCACAAACAAAGTGGGCGGCGAGCGAGGGATCGTGCAGAGGATCGACTCCATAATCGATGTACCCCAAAATTCATGCCCGGTCGGATCCAGGAAGCATACCTGCCATGCTCCGTAGATCTACTGACTGCTCTACGTACTCACTCATGGGCTCGACAAGAACATGAATTCTGGGGTAAATCAATCGTAGAATCGATCCCCTACTCCCTACTCGAAAAGGGGAAGTGACAAGGAGAAGGCCTTCGTAGAAGGCTCGGAAGTCCACCGAGAAGACGTCTCAGAAGGCCTGGGGGCTTCTGAAAAGCCCCGCCGCCTTCTGAGCAGGCCTTCTCCTTCTCGCTTACCACCCTCGCTCGCCGCCGGAAACAAGTACTTGAACATCATTTCTCCGAAGTCCACGCGGATTGCTTGGATCGGCACGCGCCAGCAGCGGTGCCAGAGACGCCGCCAAAGGGGGGCCAGAGACGCCGATCCGAGATCTCCGTGCGGACCCCGAGAGATGTTGTTTTTGCCGATGTTGCTCTTCGCGAACAGGTTCCCCGACCTGGATACCAAGAGCGCCCTGGAACTCTGAGCCTTTCCAGAGACCCATGCGTCGTTCCTTGGTACAGATACGCATCTGAAACAAAGACTATTACAGCAGAGAAAAGCCCTAATCAACGGATCATTTGACATGGGGTCGACAAAAATATCGATAAGAAGATCGACCGGGAACCCGGGGACCCGGAACCCACCGAAATCAGCCCCGAACCAATAACCAGGAACCCGGGAACCAGGAACCGGGAACTCGGGATCCCAGCCGGCTACCAAAGCCGGCGGGAAACTTTCGCCAAATCTTGCGATATCCGCTAGGACCCCTTCAGTGCAAGGACTGGTTGGGGAACGTTGGGCCAAAGAGAGACTCTGAGTTCAGAGCCGCTCTTCAGATCCAGGTCGGGGATACTATCCTTAAGTCGGGCGTGTCCCCCTACAGGGGGATTTTGGGCGACAAATGAAAAATACTCAAACAATATTGCCCAAATGCTCCAAAATAGTTAAAACATCGATCCCAAACTATTTGTCACTATTTTTGAAGATTCCCCCTGTAGGGGGACAGGCCCGACCTAAGACTATGCCACTATGCCCGAGAACAACAAAAGCGCGGCGAGAGCGGAGCCGAAGACGCCGCCAGGGGGGCACAGCGTCAGCCCCACAGAGCCGTGCGGACCTCCGAGGAACGACGTCTTTGCGGCATCTCCCCCTAGCAATGCTCCTGCTCAGGGGTTCATGCTTCGGTTACTCTGGACTTGGTTGAGTCCAGAGCTCAGTGGGCCCCAGAAACGGCAGAGCCGTTCTTTCACCGTTTCGGAAAAAGTGTCCCTTGAAAATGGACACAGCAAAAAAACTGCGACCGGAAACGGCAAGAAGAACGGCTTCAGGATTGGAGCCAGAGCGGAGAGGTTTCGTCACGTTGCCGCCCGCAGCCGCCTCGTGCGCTGGGTGGGTCTGGCGAGTTGCGCGACGTTGCCGCCCGTGACCGCCGTGCTGCCGCCTCGCGCGCTGATTGGGACCGGCGAGGTTTCGTCACGTCGCCGCCCGTTGCCGCCTAATTGCCGCATCGTTCGTTGCGGCCTCGTGCGCTGGGTGCGTCTGGCGAGGTGCCGCCACGTTGCCGCCCCTTGCCGCCTCGTTGCCGCCTCTAGCCTGCGCCACGAATGCCGCACCACATAGCTTGCACCACGTAGCTTTCACCACAACGCCTGCACAGCTCCAGTGCAACGACTTACTATTTGGCGTCCACGCTGGCTCACATTCGTTCTTCGAGAATGGGTTGGACGACAAGGAGCGGCCTGGAACTCAGAACCCTCCTGAGCCCGACGCGTTCTTTGCTGAAGATACATCGCGCACTGTAATTGCACCCATCCTGGCGAGCCGCCTCAGAGTCGAACTCGAACGGCTGAGGCTACAACGATAAAGGATGCCAGACAGGGAACAGATGAGCTTTCCTGCCAGGGCGAGCCTCGACGACAAATGTGGAGGAACCCCCAACAATGTCCCACAAACACTTTTCTCTGAGGTCCGCGCGGGATTCTTAGATCGGGGCCTGACCACCTTCCCTGGCGCGTGGATCGCGCCATGAGGAGCGCCAGAGACGCCACAAGGAGGGCTTCAAAGCCGATCCAAGAGATCCATGCGGACCTCCGAGAAGTTATGCGTTTGCTGATTGTTTGTTCGAGAACAGTGTCCCCGACTTGGATAGAAGACGGGCCCGCAGCCCGGAGCACCTCCTGAGCCTAATACGTCGTTCCTTGTTCTAGATACGCATCCGGAACAAAGAATAGGCTGGGCTCGAAAGAGACTCTGAATTCAGAGAGCGCTCTCCAGATCCAGGTCGGGGAACCTACCATCGAAGACCATACAAAAACATGGGCAGATCCGACGGCGCCGTCATGGGGAGCCAACGCCACTCCAGGAGATCCGTGCGGACCTGCAGGGGATGATGCTTACACGGCGCTTTCCCACAGCAGGGCTTGCACTGAGGGATTATTACTTCGGTTACTCGGGGGAAACCAACAGGTACCGGTACCTCTACTCCCGGGACCTTTCCTGGGGTGCGTTCTGACTAGAACTTCGAGGCGAATCCAGCGGTGGCGACGAGGGCCTCCGCGGAGCCCCAGAAGGGGGAAAATGGGGAAGGGCAGAGGCATAGGTACCTTGCCCTCCTCCTCTACTCGGGATTTGGATGGGTCCGGCGCGGTGTCACCAATGCACCGCCCGTTGCCGCCTCGTCCGCTGGACCCCCCCCCATCGGGGGCGCACAAACATGGATTGATAGCGACCCATGGATTTGGCAGGCGGTCGCCAAATCCATGGATCGGGGGAGGCGCCCTCCCCAAAATACGGCAAATGCCGCCTCGCTCGGCGGCTGAATCCGCGATATCCCATGGAAGCGGGACCTTGTCGCTGATCCACGCCCCCTTACTCCACGTGTGCGATCGCCTGATCCCCGGCGCGCAGAGCGCCAGGAGCGGCGCCAGAGACGCCGCCGGCGGGGCTCAGCGCCGATCTGGGGTCATCCGTCCGGGCCTCCCAGGACTTGTGCTTCTGCCGCTGTGGCTCGTCGGCCGCCGGCCGGCCGGCCACGAGCACCCTACTCCTCCCTCCTCTGTCCAGCAAGCCAGAGCGAGGTCGGGCCTGTCCCCCTACAGAGGGAATGTGGGCGTTTATTTATACACATATACATGTATACATATATGTATATATATATGTATATATATATATATCTATATATAGATATATAGATATACCAACTAGAACCACGCGCGCGCTTCGCGCGCGCTTAGGTTCTAGCTAGGAGGCGAGCTTGAGTCAACGAAAGTCGCAGGGAAGGGGGCAGGGGGAAGAAGGCCAGAGAGCGCTGAAGGATACAAATACTGGATCCGAACCCTCTTGTGATTTTGTGGGGGGCCTCGTCCGGCCGCTCGCTGGGAGTTTGACGTAGCTTCTCGGGAGCCTTTGAACCTGTCGGGGGCCTCCTGGAAGCAGGTTCGAAGCATTTTGGGGGCCGATTTGGGGCTTCTCGGGGCCTCCTTTGGGCCTCTTGGGGGTCTCCTGGGGCCTCTTGAGGGGCCTCGTTGGGGCCTCCTGGCGGCCTCTTGGGGCGGAAGGCTCGAGCTTGCGGTTCGTGGTCCCCCTCTGGGCCCCCTCTTGGGCCCGTCTTGGGGCCCTCTTGGGCCATCTTGGGCGCCTCTTGGGCCGTCTTGGGGCCCTCTTGGGCTGTCCTGGGGCCCTCTTGGAAGCTTCTTGGGCCGTCTTGGGGCGGTCTTGGGCGCCTCTTGGGCCGTCTTGGACGCGGTGAAAGCCCAAGAGGCGAACATGCGAAAAATATACGTTTTCCCATAGGAATGGCACGATTTTTGCTTCTTGGGCCTCTCTTGGGCTGCCTCTCGGAGCGTCTTGGAGGCTTCTGGGACCTTCTTGGTGTCATGACAGGCGTCTTGGAAGGCATCTGGAGCCATCGGAGCGCGTTCCGAAGCCGCCTGCGAACGATCTTGGACGGCGTCCGGCGGTCCGACGAGCCTCCGGGCCCCCCGGGGCCCACATTTGTGGTCGGGGTCCCGGCCCTGGGCCCCCGGACCCGGTGCGCCGTTATATGTATATGCTCGCTAAATATAAAAGAAATGTAAAAAAATGAATAAAAAAAAAAACGTCCTCGGACTATGTTTGGACTATTTTTGACATTCCTCCTGTAGAGGAGGGACAGGCCCGACTGAAAGCCAGGGTGAGGTGGTGCGAGGTGGGCGGGGAGGAGAGCGAGGAGGACGAGGCGCAGCAGGAGGCAGAGGCAGTTCGCGGTCGCCACCTTTCTCGTGGCTCAGCGCAGCACAGCAGGCACAGCCGCAGGGTGCCGAATTGAAGCTGAATGGATTGCAAGACTATGCCGTCTTGGTTCATCGGCACAGCTTCCCCCGCTCTTCGATGAGCAAGCTTCCCGACCTGGATACAAAGAGCTGCCCGGAACTCAAGAGCCCTGCCTGAGCCCAGTGCGCCGATCCGTGCTTCAGATACCTGTCTAGTGCACTGGGCACAAAAGGAGACTCTTTCGATCCAGGTCGGGAAACTTATCCTCTGAGAACAAGGTGCGGCATGGGCGGCGCCAGAG